GAACACACACATGGTAGGGGCTGTCTAGCCAAATGAGTGGAACTCTGGGACTCCCTCCTGCTCAGGAACACACAGGACCCCTTCCCTCTATTTCTTTTTCTCAAATGTTTATGAACTAGATGAAGTCTTTATAAGTTCTTATCCTTTTTATTCCCGCTTCTTCAGTCAACTAACATGAGACACAGTCTCAACTCACCTATACTACATCTGATGCATAGATGTACAATAAACAAGAAAGGGAAAGACTGATAACACTAATGCTATGATAGTGCACAGCTCTGCTTTATTTTATTAACATTCTCAGCAGTTCTAAACCCACAGCAATGAGTCAAGTGTCAATTAAGAACAATGGAGAAGTCACAGTCAGTCATTCCATATTATGGCTACATTGGTATTTTCAAAACAGGGCATGAAAATTCAACTCCAGTAATAGAATAAGCCATTCTACCTTCAAGAAAAAACAGAGTTATTCCTGCAGTAAAGCACCTTTCACTTCCATGTAAATATCATGTTCTTTCAGGTAACTGTGCAACTGATCTGCAGGGAGCTACCGAATGTCCCAAAGATTCCTGTGATACCCTCACACATCTCAACACTGTGATAATTAGAATTATATTTAAGTCTTTCACTCTCACTTTCCTGCAATTCTTTCAATAACAAGCTTAAAAAAAACTATTTTGTTTAATAATTTAAAATATAAAATAATTGTTACAACAAAATATATTTGACATAATAGTAGATTAAACAAAATTCACGAGGATAGTTTATCTTGCTATCTATTTCTACTCTTTTCTTTAAAAGTAGCAAATCATGAAATATTCTTTTCTTTTGCATGTATTAATCAATATACTGTGCTGAAGTTTATAATTCTTAATGCATATTAGTAAAAATGTCAATTTTGGGGCCAGGCACAATGACTCATACCTGTAATCCCAGCTATTCAGGAGGTAGATATCAGGATGATCAGCCTGGGCAAAAAGTTGGCAAAACCCCATCCTCAATCAATAAGCTAGTCACATTGGCATGCATGTATAATTCCAGCTACATGAGACCATAGGTAGGAGGATCAAGTCTGAAGCTGGTGCCAGGCAAAAATTGGAGACCCTATCAGAAAAATAACTAAAGCTAAAAAGGGCTGTGTATGTGTCTCAAGTGGAAGAGTCTGCCTAGCTATTTCAAGGCCCTGAGTTCAAACCACAGTACTACGAGAAAAAAAGGTCAATTTTGCCATAGAACAAGTTATACAAAAACCAATTTTTCAACCTGAAATAATTCACAATGGCTAACTAACAGAAAGGAACAAAAACATAATTATCCCAACGTATCATTAAAAAGTTTTACAGAAACAATTTTTAAAAACCAACAGGCCAACCAGAACATCACCAACAGTGCATGGCTGACCCAAATGGTATCAAGTCAAATTATACTTGGTACTGCTCACTTCCCTACCATCCCTAATCCTCTCCCAACCCAAACCATCTCCTGTGCACTGTTTCTGCGTGGTTGGGATGTCTTGTGTTTGGACCTGGCTTTGCTTTATGACATGTTTAGCTTCTAGCAAGTATTTCCCTTTCAGCTTCTTTGGGGCCAACGGACCTCTCTGAGTCAGAAGTCAAAGTACTGAGAGGTTATAGAGAGACCTTTCCACTGTGGAATGGAAAAGGAAAACAGGCTTCATTTTTGGTTTGGTTTCATTTTGATTAGACTTGATTCAAATTCTTTACTTCATGGAGCATTATAATTTACTGTAAGCCAGGAATATCATATATTCTGCACTACAGAGGAGCACTTTGGCATCCGTCCATTCTCTGCAATTCACGCATGTTCATTACACAGTGACATGATTATCTAAATAAGATAAACTTATTCTGTTGACTACTCTGATAAAATTTTATAAAGGTGATTTGAAGTTTATAATTTTGAAATTAGCTGGGCTTAAATACTAAAGTAGCTTTAATATTAGGTAGCTCCAGTCTAAAAATTTACCTGTGTCAAAGTGTGTAATGCTACCAATGAGAATTCCCTGGAATACATACAAACTGAAGCTTTCTAAGAACAGAGCTGTAAATAAGCAGTATCAACACTTTTGGGTTGGTGATTTAAATTTGCTATTTATAATGAAGAAGGTAGAAATGTTTTTTCTAGTTCTCAATACTTCATATTTAAATTAACTTTCCATTACATACCTACTCTTGAATTAGGACTCATAAATATAATTACTTATTAATAATATGATCTTGGTGGGGAACAGTAGTTTTTAACATTTTTTAAAGAATATATAAAAGAAAAGGGTACAGGGTGAAAATCACTCAGGTAAATTTAAAGAAAATTTACTTAAAACTATGTCATTTCTCTGTTAAACCATGTCATAACTCTTTTCTTCGTTGTTCTTCACTGGAGGCAAAAATGAACAGTAATTTAAAATTAAACTTTAGAATGTTTGACCTGCTTACTTTTTAGCAGCTGGTAGCTAACAGGCCTCCCCCAACAGCAGAGTCCCTAAGTAAAACTTGAGAGTCACATTTGGACCTTCCCTTTCAAGAGCATGCTAGCTATCCTATCTTAAAGATCTCAGCAGGAGGGAATGAAGGAGAGGGTGGCAGTCACTACTGAGGCATGCTGCAGCACCTCTGTGCCTGCAAGCCACCTGAGAGGCTGGTGGTGGAGGTCTGCTGGCCCCCAGTGGCCACTGTCTCAGAGGCAGTTGGCTGGGCTAGTCACAGCTAGACACATCAGAACTCGATTATCATAAAATCTACACACATTTAAATTGGATATTTTTAAAGTTTTTAATTGTTGTGCTGAGTGTGGGTACATTGTAGCATTTACAAAGGTTCTTACAATGTATCAAATAGACCACACTTGAAATTTCCCCCTCCACAAGGCTCTTCACAGACCTGTCAGAAGTCCCCTTGTTACTCTTAAGCCTCTGAAAAGTTTACACTTTTTTTCCTTCAATTATCTGTCTTTGTTGAAGTACCTTTTTATCCTAGTCTAAGTATGTCATAGTCACGTACCATTTAGTCGTCTCTGGAGTGCTTCTTCTTCTAGGCTGATAATATAAATGTGCTCATCCAAGTCTTCCAGAATCTAAATTTAAAGATAAAGCTATTCAATGAGGTAACAGTACAGAGTTCATGCTCACGAGAATGCTCAGGTTCTTGTCGGTTATTTTTGATAACTAAGAATGCACCAGAAAAATGCCCCAACTACTATATTTTACATACACTATATTAAAATATTTTAGTATATAACTAGACACATCAAAACTTGATTGTTATAAAAATCTACACACATTTAAATTGAATATTTTTAAAGTTTTTTTTTAATTGTTGTGCTGGGTGTGGGGTACATTGTAGCATTTACAACAGTTCTTACAATGTATCAAATAGACCACATTTGAACTCCTCCCACTCTACTACTCTCCCCATCCTCCCTCCCATTTCCTGGAACACTTTCAACAGGTATCATTTTTGCATTTATATATGGATATTTTTAAAGTTTAAAGAATTATACTAAAAAACACTGCAGCTTTCTCAGTGACAAACACATGAATTGTAAATAGCCAGAGGGCTATATATGTCTTCATGGCCAAACCACTGTTTTAGACCACAGAGTACAACATCTGTTCTCCCACTCACCCTTACCTAAATAATGTCTAAATCAAGGAATCTACAAAGTGTATCAATTGAATGCAGAATGTTCCATTCATGTCATCTTTATATACAATATTATTTTAATATTCCACGAATACTGAAAGCTGGTACTATACAAATCATCCAGTAGACAGAACCTTGGAGAAGTGGTTGTTCACAGATAAAACACTCACCACCAAGCACACGACTCACTAATCAATCATCTGTTGTATGGAATATTATCTGTACTGTCCTGAAAATCAATAAAACCTAAAATTTGTTCAATTCTAGCTTTGTTAACATATTTGTCCTTTGATGAGAGGATTCTATCTTTCTAGCTCTGAGGAAAATGTGAAAGAAACCCAGAGCTGATGTTAATGTTCTCTATCATTCAAACCCAAACTACCCACTCCCAGAAAACAAATGATGAAGAACTGGTGGACAGAGGACAAGAAAGAAACTGCATCTGTGTAACCTTCTGGTCACCTGGTAAGATATTCTCAACTCACACAATCCCTATCAGAAAATGTATGTAAAGTAACTGAGTAATTCCCAGCCTTTCAACAAGAATCCATGGTCCCCATGGCCTAGCACTGAACTAATCACGGAGTAGATATACCATCATCTCAACCCTTGGGAATCCTAAACTTGGGAGGGGAGAACAAATAAACAGTAAGAATAGATTAATAATAAGTGATGAAGAATGACCATCCTAGGAGGGGTAAGTGATGGGAAAGTAGTGGGACGGCCTCTCCAGGGGATATCCAGTGGGGCCTCTCAAGGGGAACACCACTTAAGCTGAGAAGAGCAGCCCATGCTAGAATGTGTGATAGCCCTGTGGTGGGAAGAAAGTGGCCCACTGACAGGACCAATTGGCTAGCAAATCAGGGGAGAGCAACCTAATATGGAGTCCCTACATGAGTGGGCACTACATCTTTGTGGGCCATGATAGGAAGTTTCCCCATTACACCATCTTTACTTGTTTCAGGTCTAACATATAAAAAAAGTTTTTATCTTACTGTGCAAATCATTGAATAACTACTCATTTCCACAGCTGATGAGTAGCACACAGGTATTCTGCTGAGTGCCTCCGCACATCCTCCCTACAGCTCCATGAAATTAGACTGCCATCCTTGCCACTACAGATTCCAAGAAACAAAGGTTTCACAAGGAAATAAACATTCTGTGCCTTGGAGCCCTATGCTCATTACTACCATGGGCTAATGGTAGCTTAGATATGGGTAAGACATAGTCTTTGACCTCAAAAGGTAACTGAAGAGATAAAATGAATTCAAAAGGTAATTACAGGATTAAAATAAATGTCAAATGAGGCTTAAATAAAATATTACAAAAGATCAGAGAAAGAAAGATTACTCCCAGGTTGGGAGAAAAAAGTCTTCAGCAGTGTTCCTAAAGGTCATAGCACCTTACCTGATAGCCCGAATTACCAAGAAGACAAGCATTTCTAGCAGAGGAAACCACAGGAGAAATAAAGGATGTGAAGTCCACTCAACAAGAAAGTAGCTCTACTACTCTGGAGCTCATAGTAATATAACAGTGGTTCAGAGCCCGAGCTCCGCGCAAACCGGCTCATCACACAACCCTGGGGCAAGCATACACTACTGGACCTCCCTCAACTGAAGTCAATTCAGCCATGAAGTGAGAATGCGATCACCTAACCATGGATCTGCCCATCATCAGGATGAAATGATATTTCCGTGTGTCAAATACAGTGCTCGCCACTAGCATGTAGTATATACTCACTCACTCACTAACCGTTGTTAATAGATGTTAGAAACAAGAAAAGAGGCAAAAATAGCGAAGGCTTTGAGGACATTATGAATAAGAGACCAGCTTAAGAGAAAAATTAGCTTGGGGAGGGGATAAGTAAGTAGTTTGGTTTTACATATGTTGAGTGAGCACCTCTGTGAGTATCCAATAAAACTTAAGCATATTGCAAGTTGTTTCCATTGTCTCTTCTTCATTAGAATTAGACATTCAGAGGCAGGACAGAAGTGGCAGAGATGATCCAGAGAAGAAGGCAAAGCATTAACAGAACTTTAGACCAAGAATGGAAAAGCAACAAAGGGGGAGAAAAAAAATTTAAAAAGCCGAGAAGAAACCAAATCAATGCAGTGTCACAAAAATGTCTTTTAGAAGAAAATGAATTTCAAGATTTGACAACACATCAGCTGTATTTGAGTGTGCATACATTTATGGACCAAGTAAAAGTTTTGTTTTGCTTTGTTTCAGATTTTAGAGATTGAACCCAAGGCCTTACCCTTGCTAGACAAGCACTCTACCACTTGAGCTAATACCCCAAGCCCTAGATTTTATTTTAAAAAGAGGCTACGATGACATTATAACTTCCAAAATTAGCCAAGCATTTACTAGAAATTATTTATAGTAACATTTCCTCAGGGTGTTCCCATAATGAATTGCCATGATAGGGAAGACAGACTCATGACCAGAACAGCTCAGTAAGCATTACCAGCCAGATGCAAGCACTGAAGCCATGGGCAGATAGAGTATAAGTATCTCCTCCTGGAGCTCTCAGAGAGCGGGAGAAGGCACATAGGAACTGCAGCTAATGTTGAGCAGGGATCCTGGGGGCTGCTAGGAGCTGGAGCAGGAACGAGACACAGGGAGGACAGAGACAGGCCTGGGGGAAGCATAGCAAGGCAGCTGGGAGGAGGGATGAGATCTGTGCAGGGCAGGACAGGTGAAGCAGGGTAGGACAGGGTATGCAAGCCCTACAGCTTATACTTGAGCTTGTGGGCAACGAGGAACAATGGATATAACATAAGTGACAAGTGAGAAATGCCCTAGGCATAGCTAAGAAATTACTTTCATATTATTAAATATCTGACAAAACAGCAACCAAAGAAATTTAGGAATAGATCATTAGAATTGCTACCAATTGAAAATCACTTAAAAATGAATACATATTTCTGACATTAAAGGCAAACTATAATTCAATGAAACAAAATATAGTCTGAAAACTATATTGCTTTATAACTGCTTTATAAAACAAAGCATACATGTAGATAATTTTGTTTATTTATTTTTGAAACAGAGTCTTGCTCTACAGCCCAGGCTGGCCTGGAACTCCCTATGTAGCCAGGCTGCCTTCAAAGTTCATATCATCCTGCCTCAACCTCCACAGTGCTGGGATTACAGGTATGTGCCACCATGTCCAGCTATGTGGTCAGTTTTGAAATGTAACAAAATTACTATTTAATATAAGGCAATGAACACCTAAAATACCAATAAACATCTGCAAATTTTGCCTTAAAATTTGCTAGATAAGTTTTTACCTAATTGCCTGTAGTTAGCATTTTAAAAGCAGAAACAAATTTGGTTTCCAAAGATTTTTTTTAAATAATGAAAATTTCAGTGACAAGCCTGTAGAAGTATTCTCATGTTTCTAAACAGTCATTCACAATCTATAAGATGTTCAAATGTAAACACATTTACTTAATAAACAAAACACTTACTGTTGGCTTCACCAGCAACTGACCCATCACCGTGAACATCCGGGAAAGGCCAACTGGCGTACACACTGCAGAAATGAGAAGTCACCAACACAGAAGACTGAACTTCAGAGCTCAGAGAGAGGGAGCAACTCAAACATCCTCCCTCTGAGAACACTCTCATCTCCGACTTAGTGCTTCGTCAGGGGCTCTTCAACTCACCAATAAAGCAGCTGGGGTGTAGTGTAAGGGCACAGCATTACTACACTTAATGAAAGATGCTGAAGACAAAAGGCACTTACAGTATTCAAGATTCCAACAGTCAAGCAACAATGAATACTTTTGTTTAAAAGAAATGAAAGAAAACCAGGCAAAGAATGAATTTAATTTTATGTACTAGTAGAACTGAAAACTAGAAAACAACTCTAAAAGTGACAACTGTACTCAAGTCCTTTGAGCTACGCTTAACAACTTACAACACCCCTGAGATAAGATGTGGTGTCTCAAGCAAAATCCAATGAATTGTGGAATAAAGACTACAAATTCATCATACAGAATTCTGCCGTTTCTATTTAAAGGCAGACTCTAGCGTTGTGATATGAATGAGGTGTAGGGCATATGTACATGAGGTTGTGTGTGTGTGTGTGTGTGTGCGCACAACCCAAGTGAAAGCTGTCCTTAGAGAATAGAAGGATTTGATTGTTTCAAGGTTTCAGTTAATTGAAATTTATCTTGAACAATTAAAAAAAAAGTTAGAGCCAACCGGAAAAACTCCAAGTTGCTAAGCAATCTTATCAGGAAATATTTCCATAATTTTCCAGAATAAAGAACTCTACTTTCCTATCAATATTGAGAGAAAAATACTTACAGAGAAGTAATAAACATCCCATCAATGATATACAGGAATATAAATAGGGTAGGTAGAACTCCCAGAGGTCTATAAAAAAGGTAAAAGCATTTTAATAAACCCAAAATGCTGTATATTAAGATAGTCAGCCATGTTTTATCTTAATAAGCTATATCTAAACATATAGTAAACACTGTAATTGCTTGAGTAAACATGTAAAGAAGTTACTAAATCATGTAACTTCTAAGTTGTAGAATTAAAATATCTAAAATAGAACAACAGGAAATAATCCTTTTGCAAAATCTGTTTGGAAGAAGAAAAAACAAAGCCTCCATGAAATTTTAAAAACAGAAACCAATTAATTTAAAAAAATATGAAATCTGCCTAGTCATTCTGTGTATATGGTACAAAAGAATATTCATTTCTTAAATATACCTAAAGACTGAATTCTGTAAATTAGTATGGAAGGTCGAGTGTCTCATTTCAGAATTACTGAAGTGTTTTAATGGCCACGTGTAATTAAACCCCACTACAGAACAGACTAGAAGTGGATCTGTACCATACAAAGACTCCATGCTTGCAGCATCTTTGTCGATCAGCGCTGAAGCCACCCACACTATCCCAAGAATCAGTGACGCAAGAAGCAGCAGCATGACCACCGTTTCCAAAACGCGGGCTCGGATTCCCTGAAAAATACACAGACACGTGTTTAATGTTCTACTTCATTTCATGAACAATTAAGCTTCTGTCTACATGAAGGCATAAAATAATCTTTTGGAAGGGAAGGCAATTTACATTTATACTAGTTAAGTTTATTTTATAAATATTTGTTACACATAAATTTATATTAGAAAAAACACTAAATGTTCACATTTTACAATGTTTAGATTGTAATCTAATTTAGATTGTAATGTTTAGATTTCTAATATAAATTTTAGAAAAAACACTAAATGTTCACATTTTACAATGCTTAGATTGCCTTCAAAATACAGAAAATACTATTAAGTTTGGATTAAAACACAAATAAATTCTTCACACAAACATCTGGCAGGACCATTTTTAACATTTCTTTCCTAACACTTTCCACAAAGTAAGTAGTTTCACAACTCTCTATCTGTGATTCTGATACAGTAATCCCGGGCTGCTTCTGCCCCACAGCTGGCTGTTAAGCACTGGCACTGGGGAAGCATAAAGCCTGGATAGTAGAGTGGATTCCATGCAGTGCCTCAGACTCTGGCACCCCCTAGTGTGCAGCCGAAGAACTGCTCACTGGAATCCAACATTATAAACTAGGCATATTATATCAATTATATAATTCCTTTTTCATATTAGATAGAGTTTTCATTAATTCACAATGCTGGAAAATAATAAGGAATCATGCACATTTTAAAATGTAAAATAAATTCTGCCTTTAGGGTCAAACTTAAGAGACCAGATTTTAAACGTGAAAATTGCTTGACAAGGCAAAACAGAAATATCCTTAAACTGAAAGGTCATCAAATAATTATTTCTGCACCTAAGACTTGATATTTTATACCTATAATATCTAACACAACAAAATTATAACTATATCCATGTTTCTCAATCATGAAATATTTTATTTCACATTAAAAAGTTTGAGAAATAAGTTATAAAGATGCGAAACCTACCGATTTCAATTTTACTGAATATCTTTTGTAACATCTGAATTTCCAGAATACAGTACATTTAAATCACAGCACCACAGTCGCAAATTCAATACAGAGAGGAGAAGAATTCCTAGTCCTACATGATGATCTCAGAGTTGAAGTGGCTTTTCCTTACCCTACAACAGTATCACAGTCTTGCCACAGGGCTGCCCTTGGCTGGCAGGCTTAAAATACTTGCTGAAATGTGAGCTGAAATATGCACAGTAAGGGAGACAAGTGAGCCAGAAACAATCAGGTTTGTACCTTAACATATTAGCTCTAATGGTGAGCAGCTATTATTCAAATGAGAAGAGAAAGATGTAAAACACACTATGGCCAGACATACTTCTCTGATGGCAAATCCTTTAAACCTCTACTTCACAACTATTAGGATATCAAAGCACAACTTCCACCTTTCAGGAGGGAGATTTCTCCCTCCCTCCTCCTCCAGTTCTCTTTCTAAGCAATAGTCTTCATATTATACATTAAGCATTTTAGGGAATGCATATGAATAAAACAGTTAAGAGGAGGGTACTCTGGTAGTGTGTGTTACACCCTCCCTGCTGTCTCTCCCAGCTTCCAGCTGGCCCCTAGGAATACATGAGCTAACCAGTAGGACTCCCAAAACTGTCAGAATGTCTGAGCTAATGGTGCTGCGTTGTAATATAGGAGTTAAACAGTGGGAACCCTGGGAACCTTCTGAACTTCACTATCCAAAAAAATATAATTACTTAATAATGCAACAATTATAAGTAGTATTGTGGTAATAAATGTTGATAGTTGATTACCATAAGAGTTATACATTTCTCTGATATATGGGTAAGAAATACTTCTTAACAATTCCATTTGTTTTCTTCAAACACACTCCTGTGGCTGGGAGAAAGCTCCATGGGTCTCTCCCATTTCTGCAGATCTCTCTAGAAGAAACAAGGCCAGTCTTTGCCCTGAGCACCTTCTTAAGTATTCGAGTATAGCAGGCATCCCTGGACCTGGAGGGTATGTCTCTCTCTGAGGCAGACGACAGGTTTGCATACAGTTCAGGATGATAAAGATAATATTCACCTCCAAGCAAAGGTCAGACAAGTTTACGTTTGCTTGAGGTCCATTATGGACACCTTGGGTTCCCTACACTTGAGGCTCCTCAGCCTTGACACACCCTCCACAGGGCTGAATGTGCTTTCCCTGTGGGGCTCAGGGTCAAGGGGACTGGCACCAACAGGAAGTGCATGCCCTCACTGTGCTCAGCAAAGGCAGTCTGACTCAGGAACTTCATGTCAACAGCCAACATCCAGGAAGCTGGAAGACTAGCTTGCCAGTGGGATAAAACCTCAGACCCTTCACAGTTCTTGACAGTTTTTGGTGACATGAAGGCTAACAGACATAGCTTTCTGCAAAAGAAAGAACAAGGGCCCACACAGATAGGCTATGGGATATGAAGTCTCTTAGGATCTTATAAAGAACGCCCTCACTCAAGTGATGGACAGGCTGGAGAAGGGAGAATAGCCAGTGGTTCTACTGCTGACCTGTGTCTGGAGGCCAAGCCCTTTACAAGGAATGAGATGGCCAATCAATGGCTTAGCTGAGCAGAAGCAAGGAGGGGTATTGTCTTGACCCTGCAACAAGCCCTGCAACACCAGCTAAAATGTCCTACAGGCATGGCTACTCAGTTAAGAAGTAATAAAGCTGAATAAGAAGTGTCAGGAATGTAATGTCAACCACATTAGCAATGTGGTTGAGCCACTCACAATGAGAGGTGACAGTACAGGCCATGTACTTACTCCAAGCTCCTCATTCCTCCTCCCTACTCCAACCCAGATGCCCTAGGAAGAAGGATAGTAAAGTAGAGGACTCCTGGCCTCAGGGAAACAGACAGCCACACATACCATCGAGTGCGCAGAGGGCCTGTGGGTAGGACAGGCTCAATTTTTATGACTCTGCTGGGGATGGGAACCCAGTGCCCTATTCTACTGGGCCTTAACCAGGGACTGTGAAGTGACTACATACAACTGTCTATGAACAATGAAAAAAAAACTTAGAGACAGATATAATTATATATATGGTTACAAAGTAAAATGTAATACCAAAAAGTATTTTTGACAGAGGTTATTTAATGATAATAATTATAGTTATAAAGAACTAAATGTTTAGAGGATAGAAAAAGAGTTGATATAAAAACTTCATTTTAAATAAAAGTAATCCCCTGACATTTCACTCTGACAATAAAGATGTTAAAGTTAAATAATGCCATTAGGAAACTAATGTTAAATCAGGAGTGATGTAGTATGTCTGTATGCAGACGGCTTCAGAAGGAGCCCAGGTTTGAAGCCAGCCTGTCTGGGCTGCACACGAGGCAAGTGCTCTACTGTTGAGCTGCACTCGCAGCCTGAGAACAAACAACAACAACAAACCACTAATTTCAGTGGCGTCAATGTAATAGTACAATTCATAGTGTTAGTAGGCAGCATCCAAAGTAATATTACTTTCTAAGAGACTAGGGAAAGGAAAAAATAGTCGACATAGTAAAAAGAAAAGAACAAGTTTAGTAAAGTATTAACAAATATGTAACAAAATATATAAAAATACAGAAATAGAGAAAAAGATAAAAACAAATAAGTTCACTACAATCATATACTCAAGTTAGGTCAAAACCCAAAACTTCACTGTATAAAAAATATCTAAAATAAGCAAGGCTAAAAAATAAGCAAAAGAATATAATCAGATTAAGCAAATGCAATTTTTAATGTAACAGGAGTCTGATTTCATATAGAATATGAAGCAAAAAAAATTACATGGGACAAAGTGGGACATTTTACACTGATACGACTTACTACACACTCTAATATTACGTTCTGTATTTTTAAGTGGTCAACACGTAATTTTGTTATCATTCTTTATATTTAAATAAATAGAAAAGTTTCATTCTTTATATCTTATAGACATTTATACAGATTTTATATTAAGCAAAATTCTTTTAAAAATTAAAAAAGTAAGACAGGCATGGTGATATACATCTATAATCCCAGCTACTTGGGAGGTGGACGCAAGGAGGATCATGGGTTTGAGGTCAGCCTGAGGGAAGTTGGCAAGATCCCAACTCAAAAACAAAATACAAACAAAAGGGCTGGGGGTGTGACTCAAGTAACAGAGTGCTTGCCTAGCACTCTGGGCCCTGGGTTCAGGGCCCAGTACTGCAAAAAAATAAATAAATAAAACTCTGCAAGACCTGAGTCATGAACTTGTTTGAGATCCACTACTCAGAGGACAGCCAAACAGCAGGGAGGCAGCCTGGTGTCTGGGAATCTCTGGAGACTGAGAGCCTCACTGAGCACTGGGCTTCAGCAGCAGAGTGCACAAAAGGGTTCTAGCCAATGAAGCTGCTAGTTTCTATGTGGAACCTTGATGCTAGGCAGGGTAAGGCAGACCAGCCTCTAGAATAGCCATTTCTATTTGGCCAGGAAGCATGGTAGGCCTTTCCCATTTACTGGCTGTGCAATCCCAGTTGTTCCACCTAAAGTAGGAATGTCAGGACAGAGGTGCTCACTGGCTCCACAGGTTAGGTAGCCCCTTTCAGCAGGAGGTAAGGGGTGGTTTAAGAGCTGCCTTTCTCAGGGGTCCACTTGGTGGCCATCAAGAAGGTGCAGCACTGCTACATCAGGAAATGGCTTGAGTGCTAGGTGCTATGAAGTCCCCCACCAAAGCTGTGATGGAGCCTTTCCTCCTGCATGTTGTTCCTGTTAGGCCAAAGAGGATGCACTGTACAAGCATGAGAGCCATCACCAATGGGATATTCAGCAAGGTGAGCCATGCACAGTACTGTGTACTGAATCAGCCAAAAGTCTCCCAAATGTTATTTCCTCACCATGAATCTTCCATTCAGTGCTTTTCCCACTCTGGGAACACTGACCAATAAGTACCATGTGCCACCTCAGGGTTCATAGCAACAGGTGCCAGGAGACGACTGTCTCCCACCATAGCTGTGAAAAGTGACAGCAGCAGTAGTGTGACAGGAAGGTGGGGGT